CTGGAGAAACTGGAAGAAGTTATTGCACAATATCAGGCCAGTAAGAGTTCTACTCCAGACCAAAAAACAATCTCTCAGAAGGTGGGTAGCTTCTTAATATCGATTCAAATTGTAGTTGACCCCAGAACCTAGTGCTTGGATGTTAACTCACTTTCCTTTCTCCACAGATGCTGCCTGATCTGCTGAGTGTTCCCAGCGACTTCTGTTTTTGTTTTCAGATATCCAGCATCTGCAGCATTTTGTGTTTTGACCAAATTATTTAATTATTTTGGGGGTGGGAGGGGATTATTACCCCAGAAAACGAGCTTCGAAGAACAACCAGGTTCTTATTTATTGCTAGGTAAACAGAGGCACGTGGAGTAAGGAAACTTGCCTAATGTTTCTCCCTGCCTGGGATTCCATCCCGGGACCTCTCGCTTGCGAGGCAATACGCTTTCGGACTCAACTTGTACTCCAGTGTTGACCAACTTCCATTGGAGGTCACACTTCTTGCCAGGCTTAGGACAGAAAGAGGAAGGCCAAATTAAATCCATGCTTGTCCATCTCTGAATGGGTTAAGAATGGTATCAAATAGGATTCTGCAGAGTGGTCCTATATCGAGCGGGTCTCTTTCTTCTCCTCCTAACCCTGTTTTTTCAAGGAGGAAAGGGAAGAAAGCAGGATTTTTCTTGTTGAGTTAAGCCAGTTTCCAGCTAACAGAAATTGCATTGTGTTGGCCTGACTGGTGGAGGGCGAGTTTCTGTGAGCAATAAATTAACACATTAACGCTACATTTTTTGAATGCTTTGTGGTAATTAACATGTCAGGGGAAGTTCTTGGGAACATTGTCCTGTCTATTTGGAATCGTAATCTCGATGGAGTTTGATAATACTAGCACATATTGCAGGTGAATCCGAAGGAAAGAGTCAACAGTGCTGGGCAGTAAATGGTCATTGATCGCTGGAAGTATTCCAGTTCGGATTATCTAAATCCTTAAAATCTGTGCTGCAATGTAAACCAGGACTCTCCCTCTGCCTCTCCCCCCTCCTCCCAAAGAAACAAGGCAGTGATATGTCAGGAATCTGATATGAAAAGGTGGTGCAATCTGCTATTTTGAAATGCAGCCGGAGAGAAATAATCCTTGCACTCAATATATAGGTGCCAGCCTGGCTCTTGCCCCCTCCCCCCACCCCTAAGTCAGAAGGTTGTGGGTTCAAGACCCGTGTCAGGCCTTTAAGGTCACAGTCTAAGCTGACAACGAGTGCAGTGAGAGTGCTGCATTATAGGAGGTGCCATTCCTCAGATGAGACATTAAAGGAAGGTCCAATCTGTCTGTTCAGTTGGATGTTAAACATTTCACAGCACTATTTGAAAAGAGAAGGGAGTTTCTCCTGGTGTCCTGGCTAACAATCCCCAGTTAAAATTTTTTATATATTTCAGTAGTGTGTTTGGGACATTGTTGTGTGCAAAATTGGCTTCAGAATTTGCTTACAACTCACAGTCACTGCACTTCACAGAAGTCTTTGTGAAGCGCATTGAGACATTTTGATGACATGCGCTATATCAAAAGCAAACATTATTTTATAGATCTTACAACATTGATACGTCTCAAGGCTTAAGACGGGCAAGTTCAGCGACTGCGTATTTGCAGACAAACTTTACAGTCAATTTGTACACATAATATCCTACAAATGGTTGTGAAGTGATTGACCTCTTTTTATGTTTGTGTGAGTCAAAGACTATTAACCAGAACAATGGGAGAAACTCTCTTTTCAAATATCACATCTTTAACAATCATCTGGATTTGGGTTTAACATTTCATCCAAAGGATGGCACCTCCAACAGTCCGAAGCTCACTCTACACAGGAGTATCAGCCTGGTCTATGAGATAAAGTCTTGAACCCACACTCAGACCCTTAAGCGAGGGATCTACCGACTGAGTCAGGCTGACATGTGCATCAGACCAAAACCACACATTGCACCTAAAGCATCTCTGTGGAAAGTGACAAGACAATCAAACAAAAGACACCATTACTATCCTACCATGAAAGCGACAAATTTCAAACACACACCATCACATATGTCCAAGTCTTTCCACTTTGCCACAAAAAAATCTGCTCAAATAAATCCTGTTGAAAAGAATCAAAAGAAAACAAACACCTCTTCAGTAAACATGTACATTTTGGTCAGGAACGAGAGGTGAAATAGGACATTTTGTTTTAAAAGTACAAAGCAAAAAATCACCAGCAATGTTCCCCTATTGTGGACTTTCTTTACTCATCGCCTTTTATACGTGAAATGCAGAGAGGTTACCTTATAAAACCAGCCACGTTATTTGCATTACATACAAGGTTCATGGATTGAGTGTCCGTCAGTGTTTATTCTGTGAAAATTTCCCTGCAACCGAGTTTACATGATTAAAAAGGTATTGTCCTGGTCTATGTGTTGAGGTACCCTCTCCTTGACACAATTAGATATTTTGCTTGGGGAATGGGTGGTTGCTTGTTCTGAAAGGATGTCTTATCAAGACAGTGAAGCCAGTGGTGGTCTCCGTCTAATCAGTTGGGGGTGCCTGGCTGTCATTCTGGATTCTACAACCACATAATTTGGATGAAAAGCAAGGCACCAGCCATCAAAAATGTACAACCGGCTCTCCACCTCCTATCACTTATCCTATCCTCTTTCTTCCCTCCGCCTCTCTCTCTCTTCCATCTTTTCCCCCGCTTTCTGTCCCCACTCTCTTCTCCCCCCTTCTCTCTCCCTGACCAACCCCGTCCCCACATCCCACAAACAGCCATGAAGCAAACAATCGATTTTATTGGAAGAACTGAATTTGACGATTTGCCAAATTCAGAATGCTCTGTAATGCACCACCACAAACAGAGTAAGTGTGGACCCGGGTGAAATTTCTCACCAACTATTTCTGGGAAACAGGGATGACTGAGGAAAAGGAGGAATGTGACTGAAGAAGAGAGAAACGTCAACAGACAGCTAACCAAAAGAATGAATTAAATCCGGAGCAAATTTCTCCTTTGTCGGAAATGTAACCTTCTCGTTGCTTTCCAGTGAATCGCTGACAAATGAATGGTTTGTTAATTGCACACAAGGTTAATTCCACCTCCACCCACTCTTATCCCTTTATGTAACAATCAGTTCAGCTATAAATTCCTGTCAAGTGAATATACAGGAGTTTTGCCCAGGTCACTGTCTGACTTTATCTTAGTTAAATTGCACCACACTTGCAATTTGCACTAGAAAAAAAACATGATTGAAGTTTAATATAACGTTATAACATAGCTTTTTCCCCCACTTTTTTAAAATTGGATTTTACAACATTTGAGATATTGGTTATAAAAGCATAATAATCCATTCATTTGTTACAGCGCCTTATCACATCGTCGAGACGCCTCAAATCTTTTTTGGAAGGGATTATTACCCCCACAAAAGCGATCTGCCAATTGACTAAAACTAGGTTCCTACTTACTGCTAGGTAAACAGAGGCGTGTGGAGTAAGGAAATGTGCCTAAGATTTTGCACTACTCGGGACTCGAACCGGGTCCTCACTTGGAATCGAGCATCTAACCAGTACACCACAGGACTCCACAATGCAAATGCAGTGCTTGTTGGCTTTCCTAGTCTGCATAATATCAACGCAAAACCAGACTGAAGACCATTCAAACTGTGTTTTCTAATCAGGAGGGGAATTATTAAAATAAATACATTTGAACCCCCTTCCTTTCCTCCTCCATCCCTCCCCCCCCCACACCCACATACACTACTCCCTGCTTTGTCTACTCAATTTGTAGATTGAAGGTAAAATCTACACGAGGATGAGCTCCCACTATCTTTGGGAACACAGGTTTACTCATGAGAAATATCTATTTCTATAGCTTCCCCCCGTGACCATATAGCAGCTGTTGTGAAGACGATGTACCAAGAACGAAAGGACTGTGTTGGTAAATTCTATGTTAATCTTCTTCCTTCTTTCTTTAGGTCTTAGGTAATGTTTAGCTGGTTAAAACTGCAGTTGTAACCCTTAGCAACACACAAGCCAACCTGCTCTCACAAACCTGTGCCTCTGACATTCCTGGGATTAAGTGAGCGCTGTGCGTCCCTCCGGATGCAATTCCAGATGAAGGGAGATTTCCATGCATACGTGGATATTAATAATTATTATTATCTCTCAGTAGTGCGGTTGAGATACTCTTAGGTGTGGTGTGGACATCTGGGTGACATCTTCCCCATCACAAAAACAATCCTTTAGAGAACATTTTTTAACACATCTCAACGATAAGGAGCTATGTCAAATGCAAGGATTATTATTATTATAAAATGCACATATTTACTGATGGAAGCAAACTGGGGCAACTAATCTCATGGGATCCATGGAAGAGAGCGGCTCAATTTTGCACAATACTGACCTTTAATTGACTGGGAAGAGAAGTCTGGTATTCTGCGGTGTGTGACACAACCTGAGTCCAGTCACTTTCTCTCTCTCTCTCTCTTCCCCCCACCCCAAAAAACAGATAATGGGGTAATTTAGCAAATACATTCAATATTTATTTCATCTAATATATCTGGAAATGCATAAATGCTTTCTAATGCCAGATAGTGAGATGCCAGCTTGATTTTGTTTAGCTACGTCTTTAAACTGGGAAATCTATCATAAAGTGCAGAACGAAAGGTTTCCTGGAATCTGGACCACAATGTCACACTGCACGCCAACCGGATGATTCAGCTGGGATTTGGTTGTGAAGTGATTGATAAATGGCCTCTTTGAGGCAGATTCCAGTTAAGGACTGAATGATTCGTGCTGGTTCATGGTGTCTGTTGAAGGCTCATAAGAATAATAAAAATAATAAACCCTGGTTTCAATATAGCGCCTTTCGAGGCGAGAGGACATCCCAAAGCACTTCACAGGATATACCATAAAGTTGTAATGACTTTGTTTTGTAGGTGAACATAGCAGCTAATTTGTGCACGGCAATTCCCCACAAACAGCCGTGAAGTGAATGACCAATTGTATTTGGGGAGATGGTTGGTCAGGACACCGAGAGTTACCCCAGCTTGTTTCATATCAGACTCCCCTCCGCCAACAGGGAAGACCTTCCATGGTCTCCCAAGCCTGGATTCCAGAGATGAAAGGTTAACGTTGCTTAACGTTAACTTAACTTAACTTAATGTTGGTTAAGGTTGCCATTGAGCCTCTCTCTCCAGCTACACCTGCTCTTAGGGGAGGTCACCAGCAAATCGCACAAGTGTCTATCTTCTCACCTTATGTGCCTCCGCTATAACCCACTACAGATAAAACGCGCCTAATGCATGCAACTGCGGTTCGTGCAAACAACTGCGACTTTTATGATGTATAATCTACATTACAACAAAGGGCAGGAGTGCTGCGGGAACACCACGGGAAAGGCAGAATCTCGGGAGGGAAGGGGAGGGAAGAAGTTCGGCGGCGACTTAAATAAAAAAAGAACCAGAGATCATTGAATATTTAGTGATCATTCAGCAAATACAATACTGGTTTCCCATCTCTGCAAAGTAAAGCCCACAGAAAGCTGACATCGCAAACGGGGGAGAGACATCCTTGAAAGTAAAAGAGACTTAATGTAAACATTTAACAGGCATTCGTTCCTATATCGGCTTGTTTTATTCGGTGGAGGGGAGGCTTTCAAACCATGAAACGGTGCTCTTTGCCGTCGTGCACCATGAGAATGACGTTGCGGTTGGACGTCCAGATCAGCCGTGCCAGCTTCAGGGCGTTTTGAGAACCGGGAGAGGCGGGGTGAATGGGCGGCACTTGGTAGGTTTTCATACAGCGCAGCTGTGGGGCGGAGTTCAGCATGCCGATACTCCCCAACAGGGAGGTGTTCATCTGCAGAGAGGTCAAAAAGAAGTGGGAGGGTGAGGTACATGGAAAGGCAAACAGCACAGTAACATTCTCGCCCAGCATGATAAAACTGCAGCAAAACACTTAAGTTAGAATAATCTTCGCGTTCGATACGCGTCTCACGTCTGGAGGATGTCTCAAAGCGCTTTACGGGACTGTTTTACCAGGATTGTCACCATTACCGACAAGGCCGTCTCCGATCACCACTTCATCGCCTTCACCACCTCCACCCTCCTTCCCACCTCCACCAGACCCACCACCATCTTCTACCGCCCCTGGAAGAAGTTACGCCCACAATCCGTAACCGCTGCCTTGGAGTCCTCTGTACTCCTCTTCCTCTGGCCTTCAACCCTCACTGACCCCTCTTCTGCTCTCACCCTCCTCCACAACACCCTCTCCTCCACACTCGACACTCTTGCTCCCATCACCTCCCGTCTCTTATTCTCGCTTCTCCCCCTGGTTCACCACCCACCTCCGCTCACTGAAGAGCCAGGTGCGGGCCGCTGAACGCACCTGCCTCAAATCTGGCCTAACGGTCCAACGACAAATCTGTCTGGACCTCCTCAAAATCTACCGCTCCACTCTAGCCTCGGCCAAGTCGTCCTTCTACTCCAGGATAATCCTGGAGGCGAAGAACAACCCCAGGCTTCTGTTCTCTACCACATCCCGACTCCTCCGTCCCCCCGCCACCCCGCGCAGGTCATCTCCTCCAACCTTCACTGCGAGGAGATGCTGGATTTCCTTAAATCAAAAATCAAGGGAATCCGCTCCGCGGTCACTCCCCCTCCAACTTCCATCCACCCCCCCACCCCTTCCCTCTTACACTCTGACTCCTACCCATCCTCCCCTACACACCTTCGAACCCGTTTCCCCACCCTCTGTCACCAACCTCATCCTGTCCTTGAAACCCACCACCTGCTCCCTTGACCCCATCCCCACTCCACTCCTTACCTCTCAGCTACACCTCCTTGCCCCACTTCTCATAGACATCATCAACCTGTCCCTCTCCTCTGGCTCTGTTCCCATTGCCTTAAAAACTGCCACCATCACTCCCACTTTGAAAAAACCCTCCCTTGATGCGTCGCAGCTATCAAGCTTCCAGCCCATCTCCAACCTCCCATTCCTGTCCAAGGTCCTTGAAGGAGTTGTCACCTCCCAGCTGCGCTCTTTCCTCTTCATCCATGCATTATTCGAACCCCTTCAGTCGGGTTTCCGTGCTGCCCATAGCACAGAAACCGCCTTGGTCAAGGTCACTAATGACATCTTGACCATCTGTGACCAGGGCTCCCTCTGCCTCCTCGACCTATCGGCCACATTCGAGAAAGGTCTTGAGACCGGCCTTGAAGGAGGAAAGGGAGGAAGCAAGGCAAAGGTACTGGGGAATAGAGTTCCAGAGCCTAGGGGCTGAGAGGCTGAAGGCCTGGCCACCGATGGTAGGGCGGTTGGGGCGGGGGATGTGGAGCAGACTGGAGCCAGAGGGACGGAGGGTACGGGCAGGTAAGTAGGGGGATAGTAGGTCGGAGAGGTAGGAGGGAGCAAGGCCATGAATGGCCTTGTAGGTGAGGATGAGGATCTTGAATTTGATCTTGAATTGAGAAGGGTGCGAAGAAATGGTGTGGGGTTTGGGGAAGAGAAGTGGGTTTCAGGATATCTACCAGCTTTTGCACGTTCAAAGAAATGAACATTTAGGAAGTGTTGAAGGAACCACAGAGAAGGTCAGATAAAATAATTAAGGAAAATTGCGGCATCAAATACATAGGATGCGCCCATTTTGGAAATAATCAGTTCAAGCACAGTGCACGGTGCACGATGGAGCCTGTGGCAGAGCTGGGCATCTCGTCCTGCCTCCCAGGCCGACACCCCAGAGACGCAAACACTTCAGTTCAGTTCTCGTGCGTCCTCCAGAACTAAAATCGTCAAGAGTTATTGCATTCTTTTCTTGGGCCGGATTTAAATTCAGGTTTCCAGTGGTGGAAATGGAGAGTGTGCTGAGGGGGGTGGAAGGAGGGAGGGAGTGGGGGGGAATCAGGTTTAAGTCAGACATATCCTTGGAATTATGGCAACGTCTTCAAATGACGTGAAAATGAAAAATGTCACTGACATTTTGGGAATTGTGTTAATTCATGTTGAGTAATCGGCCAGGGAAGATGACTAATGTTACTGATTGTCTTGCATTAATAACAGTGCAGATTTCTAGCTTGAGGTCACATTTCAGAGCACATGATCTCCTGTATCTAGAGACTGCTCCCTTCATAAATCCGTCTAGAGATTAATATACAGCACGATTTCAGGAGGGCAACAGGCTGATTAGGCTCTGATAGTTGTGACAAAAGAACAAAGGATCGAATTTCTCCCCGACTCAAACCATGACTTATGAATTTCCATGTCAATTTGGAGACTGTTCCTTCATGTTTCAGTTTTCCTTTAAATCATTAACCGCATTAAGATTTAGCAGCTTTCTAAGTGCATGAAAGAACCTGCATGTGCTTATTAAGCCTTGCATTTGACACAGTCCCTATCAAGTCAGAACACCTCAAAGTGCTTTACATTAAGTTCTATTCACACCACCACCAACAAATTGCATTTATATAGCGTCTTTCATGTAGGGGTTGAATAGTGAAGGGTTTGCACCAAGAGGGGTTCAGAGAAAATGGGGTGTGGAGGTGGGAAGATGACCGAAGGCAGGGTTGAAGAGGAAGGTCTTGAAATGGACCTTGAAGGAGACCCGGGAGGGGGCGAGGCAAAGGGATTCTGGGATGGAGTGATGGTCTCAGTCTGGAATACAGATGCTTCGGGAGATCACAATAACAATAATTTCCACCTTGATCTTCAGGCACAGAGCAAAATCTGGAAGAACTATTATTATACTGTCAGCCTGGCTAATTTGGTAGCACTCTCACCTCAGAGTTAGATTGTAAGTTCAAGCCTCACTTCAGGACTTTGTGCTTCCTTCCTCTACCCCTTCTATGTCCCACCCACTTAGGCTCCCACTCCTTCTCTGCAAATCACTTTGGAAGGCCCAGTGTGGTTAAAAAATGTTCAACATACGCTGGTTCAATTGAAAGCAATGAGCACAAATGATCAGGTTTCTCTTTGAAGATTGCACTGTAAATCATGCGTCCCTGGTTTAACTTTGAAGACAACAAGAAGTTACATTTGCATATTGCCTTTCACATCAGGAGGACGTCCACTGGAGAATCAGGGATAGACCTGAGCTTGAGGTTGGTATCAGGAGGGGTGGAGGGCGGGGAGGGTAGGGGTAGGAGGCTGACTGAAGGAATGGGTGGAGAGGAGGGTCTTGAGATGTACTTTGAAGGAGGCATGGGAGGAACCGAGGTGAAGTTACTGTGGATGCATTTCCAGAGTGTGGGGGCAGAGGGGCTAAAGGCTCGACTGCCGAAGGTGGGGCGGGCCGAAGGTGGGGCAGGCCAGGTGGGGGACGTGGAGCAGGCCAGAGCCTGCTCAGAGGAGGGAGTGGACAGGTTGATATGGAGTTAACATGTCACAGAGGTAGAGAGTTAATAGGTCGCAGAGGTAGCCTGGATGTCATGAAACAAAATTATATTTGTAGAGCGCCTTTCACATCGGGAGGACGTCCCAAGGGGGAGCGTATAGATATTGAAAAGGAGAGGGCCAAGGACAGAGCCCTGAGGGACGCCACACGTGACGGTGCGGGGGCTGGTGGAGAAGTCGTTAGTGACGGCAAAATGGAGACGGCAGAAGGTTGAGCTGAGAGGAGAGGAGGACAGAATGGTCGACAGTGTCGAAGGCAAGCAGAGAGGTCGAGGAGGACAAGGAGACAGAGAGAGCCCTGGCGAGGACGAAGACTAATTCTCCCCCTTCATGCCTAGTATAAAGGTGGGCCAGGAGCAGTGCTGTGTACCTGCCAGAAGGAGATGTGACTGTCGGCATTGGAATACGTGGCCAGATAGCGTCCGTCAGGAGCGAAGCCCACTGCGGTTATTGGCCCACTGTGGCCCTGGATTGTCTGTGGGAGAGAAAAGATAAAAACATCATTCAGGTGACCTGCTGTGATTAACCAGTTATACTATAGGGGAGGAAACTGCAATATTCCTAGCATAGTGGCTAGCGCGCTCGCCTCGCACGCGAGAGAACCCGAGTTCGATTCCCGGCAGGACAAACCCTTAGTCAAGTTTCCTTACTCCACACACCTCTGTTTACCTAGCAATAAGTAGAAACCCGGTTGTTAAAAATACACAGTCAATTCACTTTACAGTATATTCTGTGAAATGCTTTGCAACGTCTGAGTGACGTTACTTGGGGAGGACAAGTTTGCAGGGCTATGGTGAGAGAGCGGGGGAATGGGATTGATTTGGATAGCTCTTTTCAAAGAGCCAGCACAGACATGATGAGCCGATTGGCCTCCTTCTGTACTGTATAATTCTATGATTCTATGACATGATAAGGCGCTATATCCAATGCAAGGATAATTATAATATGTTTAGAAATTCCCTTACTTCTCCCCTGAATTCTAAACAGTGGTAACGCCCAAAGCCGCTTTTGTGTAACATGGCACAGAAATACATTGACTGCTTTATAGATTTATGTAAAAACACAGGCCCTTTTCAAATAGCAAGTTTTGATGTGTTTCAAGAGAATTACTGCATAATCAAAATGTGACATAATGTCAATTAGTCCACTGAGACACGCACTACATATTGGAAACAGAGCGTGAACCTATTTCATATTGCAGGGTTCAGTGAGGATTGCAAGAGTTTCTAAGGTGATACACTGGACAATAAATTTAAAATATAACTCCCTGTATCTTACATTCAGTGACAGAATGGTGCAGCGTGGAAACAGGCCATTTGGCCCAACTAGTCTGTCCTGGTGTTTATGCTCTACACACAATGGCTTCAATGCAGCGGCACCAACAAGCACAGTAATAAAAGTAAACCATTGCCCACTGGATCACACATTTCTACGGTTATATTCCAAAGTCAAAATGAATCAAGGGCAGAAATATCAGGGACAAGCCTTCCCATTCCGTTTGAATCTCCACTGTTATTCCATTAGCTTGGCTCGGTTGGTTGTACTCTCGCCTCTGGGTCAGAAGGTTGTGGGTTTATGCACCACAGTCGGGGCTTGAGTTCACCGTCTAGGCTGACAATATCACTGGGGGAGGTTTGGCATTGTCAGAGGAGCCATCCTCTGGATGAGACTGAGATCCTGTCAGCCTTTGATGGGCATTACATTATTCAAACATCGAGAAGAGTTTTTGCTCAGTGTCCTGGCCATCAATATTGCAAATAACCCGATTATTTGCTTCATGGCAGTGTGTGGAACTTTGCTGTGTGCAAAAGGGGCTGTGGTGATTAAGCAGTCACTACACTTCACAAGCAAGTCAGTGTGAAGCACTTTGAGATGTTTGACCGTTAAAAAGACTACATTAAATGCAAGGATTATTATTAATCTTTTAGTTACTACTGAAAGCTTAATTCCTGGTCTCTTGGGCTGCCTCAGACAGACGCATAAATGTTATCCTTTAAATAAATCCTTGTGTAAAAAAGACATACAGACACACAATGTTGCAGAAATACAATGGATAATTCAGTATTGGATTTCACCCAAACGCCACAGAGACGCTGTTGCTTTAAATGGCTGGAGCTCGAAAGGCTTTTTTCCCGCCCCTCTAAATCATGATCGCTGTTAGTGCAAAGTGAATCCTCTTCGCTGTTGATTTCGGAGCTTCACAATGCATCACAGCATCAAAATGAGCTCTGGGCTTTCTGATGTCTGGCAAATGCTTTAAGCATGAACTGACCTTGAGCAGCAGTGTATGAAAATACATTTATCACCAAAACTGCATGCTGTCTGTCAGTCAATATCGGTCTCTTATTTGTAAAGGGTGCCCCTGCTGAGATTCCCTCACAGTAGCTCGTTTGCACTTCCTGCACCCATGACAGGCCACAAACCTGTTTTCCTCTCTCTCCGCGCCAGATTCATTGGCGAAAAATTAAAGTGACAGGTGTAGCCAGTCAAGTACAGTGAAACCTGTCAGCATCAGCCCACCCACCGCTCCCATCAAAAAACCGACAGTGTGAAATCACCCCAGAACTGTCCCCCTCCCCCCAACCCAACTGTCTATCGTCTCTTTTCGTCCCCGTTTTGATCTAAGTTCTGCCTGAGGACCATAAAGGACCCTTCCTCCTCATCCAAATCTCTCCCAATTCAAATAATAATCCTTGCATTTGATATAGCGCAGTATTGCAGCATCGAGATGTTTCAAAGAGCTTCAAAGGAGTTACTGTGAGATATAATGATTGTGTATTTTGTAGGAGAGTAAAGGTCCCACAACAGCCATCAAGTGAATGACAATTTTTTCTTAGGAGGATTGTTGGCCAGGACACCGGGAGAAACTTCCTTCCCTTTTCAAATAGCGCAAAGGGATCTCTATTTTTCACCTGACAGGACCTTGTTTTGACTTTTCACACAAAGAACAATGCACAGCAGTTCAGCTTAGTTTATGAGTTCAAAGTCCTGACATGGAGCTTGAACGCCAAACCTTCTGACTCAGAGGTGAGAGTGCTACCAGCTGAGCCAGGCTGACACCCAATTAATTGGCCACTCAACTCAACTCAGTGCTGTATCTTCACTGGTGCAGATTAGTCACCAAACTTTGCCAAATAAGTATAACATTCCTGTCATTTCTAATTCTTATTTTGTAAGTGCTTTGCGACGTTGATTTGACGTGAAAGGTAGTAATAATGTTTTGTTCCATCAGCAGGAAATTTAACTCGGTAGTGACTCTAGCAGTCAGTGGTTTTTAGATCAATCCACTGGCAGGAGACAAAGAACTCAGCATTTGTAGCACGCAAAGTCTTTCACGTTCTTGATCTTGCAAATTAAATCGTTGACTTTTATTTCCCTTTGAAAACCCTCCATGGCCTTGTTCCTCCCTATCTCTGCAACCTATTAAAACCTTACCAACCTTCCGCTCGGTGGGCACTAGCCTGCTCCATGTCCCCCACCCTGCCTGCCCCACCGGCCGCATCGGCGGTCGGGCCTTCAGCCTTTCTGCCCCCACCCTCTGGAACTCCATCCTGGAGTCCCTTCACTTTACCACCTCCGTCGTTTCCTTCAAGGCCCATCTCAAGGCCTGCATCTTTTACCGTAAGATTCAACATCAATTTTAGAACTATTCTGGTGGCTACAGCTCAGTTACTCTTCATAAACCAGCTCAGCTATTGCGTTTTGTGCGACTTGAAGTTTTGTGTGATTTTGTGAGAGTCTCAAGAGAAAAGCGTGGAAAAAAAAATGGAATTTTTCATAGAATAATTCATAGAATTATACAGCACGGAAGAAAGCCATTCAGGCCCATCATGTCTGTGCCGGCTCTTTGAAAAGAACTATCCAAATCAATCCCACTCCCCGCTCTCTCCCATAGCCCTGCAAACTTATCCTCCCCAGGTTTGAGATTTTGTGGTGTCTGCAATTACCAGCCCTTATCTATACCAGCACCAGGCTATTTTAATTTATATCTGTAAAAAAGAAAAGCCACAATATTAGACATCTCCATGTTAGAACTTTATGGCCCTGCCTTAATGCTATGACATGCATCACTGCCCATGTCTAAACTCCCAATTTTCCATGATTCTTCTCCGTGACCTTCTCAAGCATATAGGTTAATATTTATCTCTTGCTTAATTGTTTTGTCCTTTTGATTGACGCCATTGCTTATTTGCATTAATAGATCCCAGTGTGGACTCATGGGCTATGGTGTCTCACACAGGACTGAGAATATGCTATTTTCCTGAGGGAAAAGTAGAGCAACACAACAGGACTGAACTGATTTTTTCAATATGTTGTGCTCTTTGTCGACAGACAAGGATAAACATTGCTTCTTTGAGAAGCAATAATAATATTCCTTGCGTTTGATATAGCGCCTTATCATGTTGTTGTGGCGTCTCAAAGCGCTTCACAGAATATACTCTAAAGACGATTGACTGTGTAACTTGTGGGTGAAACGCGACAGCCAATTGCGCACAGCAGTGTCCCAAAAAACAGCCGTGAGTTGAGTGACCAAATTATTATTTATTTATTGAAGGATTATTACCCCCGGAAAGCAATCCACCAATTGACTAACAACCGGGTTTCTACTTACTGCTCAGTAAACAGAGGAGTGTGGAGTAAGGAAACTTGCCTAAGGTTTTGCCCTGCCTGGGAATCGAAACCGGGTTCTCTCACGTGCGAGGTGACTGAATTAAACAACACATTATGCCGGCTCTTTGAAAAGAACTATCCAAATCTAAGTGGCTTCCTGCTATGTTGTAAATTTCTATGATATTATGGTTAAGAAGCGATTTTCACAATTATGAAAACCTTTGAGAGGATAGATAGCGAAAGTTTATTCTTGCTGTTGGTAAATTGGTATAAAGGATTGTTCCGGAAAGATTGAACAAGAAATTAAAAGGATCCTCTCTTGCAAAGAGTTATTAGTATTTGCAATGCTTTGCTACAAGTAGCTTTTAAGGCTGAGATCATATTTAAAAAATATTATGAGTGTCATCAGGTTAACAATGGATAATCATAATCCTTGCATTTGATATAGCTCCTTATCAAGTCATTGAATTGTCTCAAAGCACTTCACAGAATTCGCCGGAGAGTGGTGTGACTGTGCATTTTGTGGGCGAAACGCTGTAACACAGCAATGTCTGACAAATAGTTATGCAATGAGTAATCAATGTAGCTGGGAATTTGCTGCCTAGCACAACAGAAGAAACTCCCTTCTGCTTTCAAAAACAGTAGTGCCATGAGATCTTTAATGTCTACCTGGACAGGCAGATGGTACCTCGGTTTAACATCTCATGAGTAATAAACTAGAGTTCTCCCAACGGATCAGAGGTTACTGGATGAACAGCTGAGAGCTAAACACACGGGAAAGGTCTTACGTTAAATCCCTGGCAATTTTCGAAGTCGAAGGCAACTCGAAAAGATGCCTTTTTTAAGCTTCTTAGGAACATACGA